CAACAGGATTATTAAATAAGAAATGTGAGCATTGTTTTGATTTTTTTTTTCTTTCCCGTGGCTCTGGATTCACTCATAATGCATAAAAACAGTGAAGGAGCATTTTAATGGATAAATGAATTATTGACAAAGCTTAGCTTCACTGAGAGCTGCTGATTCCACATGAACTGTCATTGCCCCAGCCCCTAACTAGGAACAGCTTTTGTTTGTGGAAGACATGATTCCAGTTTCTTCAATAATTTTCCTATGAAAAAAGTTTGGGGGCAGGGAGGGAAAGCCTTGGAAAAGAGATTTTCCAGATATACTCTATCTGCATGACAGCATCTGCCTGGGTCCATGCACGTGCGTAGGAGGCGCGAATGCTGTGAGTGCCGGGGCATGCTGTTCTGCCGCGGTACGCATGCAGCGGTCAGGACGGTGCTTGGAAAAACCCGGGAGAAACCCAAATGCAGCTGAACTGCCAGGAAAAGGATGAAATCAGAAGAGCCATTAAGCGCAGCATGCACAAACATGCTTAAGCTAAAAGCTTAAGCTGCAGAAAGAAAACGAAATCGAGCTGATAGGCAGATAGGTTGGTTAAATGCATATGTTACAGAAACCAAGACAAAAAGAGAAAGAAGGATACCCAAGCTGTTGGCAACAGTGCAGGGGGTGTGAGAAACAATTGTATTGGGGAAGGTTTCAAATTCTTTACAGTATAGATTTGTTTGAACTAACACTGACAGAGCAAGCCCAGGACTCGGAAGCAATATTACCTTTACTGATGGGTAAGAAGGTAAATTAGCTAAGGCAGAACGTGGTGCAAATGATGCATATTGCTTCATACGCTTGGCCTGAAGTGTTTAGTGCTACTCCTAAGTATCATTACACAGACAGTGTGGTGCCTTCTAGAGCTACCTTTTATGTTTAAATGGGTAAGCAATTCTGGGGAAAAAAACGCAGTTATGGAGGAGACTTTCAGTCAAGAGGAGGATGTTTACTTGCTGACTTCAATAATGCCAAAGATTCTCTGCCACATATGGCAGAAGTGGGATATCAGTTTTTCAACAACCAACAGAGCAGTTTAGGTGTTACAATAATCTGATTCCAGACAGATAGCAAAACTAGCTGCAATATAATATCAGCAAATAGTTTTTCCAGGCTGGAAAAATGGCAGCAAGTATTTGTGGGAAACATTGGAAATCCTTTGGGTGCATCAAGGGTGAATGAAAAACCCTTCAGTGACACAGGATGTGTGTTGGAGTTAGTAATTACAAATACGCAAATTGACTTTCTAGTTCTCTTCCAAATTTTACTCTTAGTGTCTGTGTTTCTTCCTTCAAGTGTCATACAAGCCTCTGTGGTCACTGGCATCAGCAGATGATTGTTGTGGTGGTGTTTTTCATTAAAACTGTTGAAGAAAGTGGTAGCAAACTGTTTGGTATATTGAGAAGGAAACAGAGAATGCTAGAGAAGTGTATGGAGAAGAGAGATTCAAGCATATGGCTGAATTTTTAACTATGCTGGCAGCATCTATAAAGGACTTTTCTTCCTGCAGAGCCATCTGCATTATAAAACAACGCAGTCTTTTGATAGATCTAGCATCCAGCCTCCAATCAAGCTGGCAGACATGTCAGAAACGTCTGCGTATTACTCAGTTCTTGAGCCTCTCACTTTGCCTTAATGATTTTCTTTACAAAGCAACTGTCTGTACCCTGGGCTGGGGTGACAGCACATCTCTGTTAATGACCACAATTTCAAAATTGACTCATATGTAATATGCATTTCTGACGAAGCACTAGGTTTTTGTGGTTTGGTTAGCGATTGAACACAACTGCAGTGTGCTTAAGGTGACCTGCTTTGTTCTCAACTTCTCTCCATGATATTCCATTCAAAACTGTTTGCAATGTGCTCTGACAATTAAGTGAAACAAATGTTGGCTTTGTGAAGGCAGCTGTGCGTTCAAACAGGACAGCTGAGAGGTCTCTTCTTCCCTCCTTGCAGTGGAAGGGACTGCAATTTTTTTCTGAACCAGGAAACATCAGTGGGGAGTCTTGGACCAATCTTCACTTAGGAAGAATTGACATCAGACTTTCAAGCACAGTGATGCTTTTTACATTGTTTTAGGGACCCTTTTCATAGGGAAAAGGACATTGTGTTTTACATTTTCCTTTGTAGTCTTCTGGCGTAATGAATGGATTGAATGAGGTGTGGCTGAAAGCCTACATTGTTTAGTTCCACGCAACAAAGCAATTTAGGCCTGCTATTGTAGTCTGAGGGGAAATTTCTCCAACTTTCCCAGAATATTTAAAAACATTAAGACTGTTGCAAATAGACATATGCATGCACTAAAGCAACTCAAACTCCAACCATGGCTGATTTATCTTGTGAAGGTCACTACAGTAACATAACTATTTTTCATTCTGCTTCATACTGCTGGTTCTGGAAGACAGAATCAAGATGGAACAAATTAGCCTAAATGAGGATATTTAGGATATTTTCTTTATTAAACAGTTCCCAGATGTGGAGTCAGCAGTTTGCATCAAAGGTGTAGAACATAGAGCACTTGGCAGCAGCAGCTCTTCAACCCAATAAAAGTTTGTCCAGGGATGTATCATAAATTTTTGTCTTCACTCAGATTAACTGGGATTTGACAGAGATAAGTCTTGAGCATCGATCTGCATGTGTCCAAAGATCGTTCCGTAAGATAGCACTGACCTTTGAATAATTAATTTATAAGGTTTTCCACCCTACAGTGAATTGGAAAAATCCATTAATATCAGGCCAGCTGGTGGAAAATAACTGCTAAAAGTGATTTCATCAGATTATGTGCCATTGATTTCACCACATGATCATGAAAATTAAGTACCTTGATGCTCCAGTATCCCTATATGATTTTACATATCATTCCTTCTCCTGTATAAGCTTGACAACTCCTTGGGGAAGGGTTAGTCTTTTCTGTTTTAATATGTATATAATGCCTAAAAGGGTCATAATTTTTGGCTGGAACTTCAAGATGGTTTACTCTATGATCAGTTAGAACTGTAAATAATGTTAATAATATGCATATATGCCTCTGAATATTCACTTTGGATATGTATATTTGTTCTTTGTTTAAAGTAGAAATTAATTTCCAAGTACAAGCACATAATTATTGTTATAATTTAATTAGTAGTATTGTCACAAAGGTTTTTTTTCCCAAAAAATAAATTACTATGCTATTGTTGAGTAAGGAACATAGATAAACATGCATACATATTGTCGAGAGTTTTAAAATCTGTATTTTTTCATACAGGGTGAACACAGAGGTACAGAAAATATTTTGCTAGAAGGGCAGGAGTTTCTCAGTAATCACATAAAAAGAACTGCAAAAATAAATGGTTTTGTAATAGGATTTCCGAATGGGTTATTTCCGAATGGGTTATTTCCGAATGGGTTACAGAAATATGTATATATTTCTATACTGGGTTATTTCCACAAGTGCACTGGAGCAGAATAAGGCCTGATTTTCAGGTAAAAAGAGACTGAATGTTAGAAATTGCAGTTCTCAGCCCTTTTAAAAATCTACTTTTAAGAAAATTATTCATCTTCAAAGAAAAAATTTATACCACATGCATAGTCTTTAAATGCTTGTTACTGAGGCCAGCCTTAAAATGTTAGAAATAGATGCAAACTATCAAAGAGCAACTAATTGCTTCTATCTACAAATGCAAGAAGACTAAAATAATATGACTGATGGATAATCTGTGGTGCTGGCTACCAGAAGTAAAAAAAAAAAAAAAAAAGGTGTCTCCTAGTGAATAGTTGATTCTAATATTCAAGCTGTGTATTGAAATCCCAATATGATCTTATAAAACTGAAAAAAACCCACACAGATTTCATAAAAAGATGCCCGCTGATATCTCTCTTGTTAGTGAATGGTGAATGTGCTGTATTCTACATACTTGGACTTCTCTAAAACCCATGGTTGTTAAGTGCGTGTATACGAGTCAACAGATAGCTAAATACTGCTCTGAGTTGATTGTGTTTGCTTAAACTGATACAATTCTTATGCAAATGTTTGGCTAGTTCAGTAAATAATTGGGAGGGGATGTATCTCTTAATTTCTTAATTTTCTCTATTTCACCATTATATCAACTAGCCATTCCAATTTTTGTGAAGTACCTAGTCCAGGAAATATGGCATCATTTCTGTTTGTGGTTTTATCTCTATGGAAACTAAAATAAATCAAATACTCAATGACTATCCCAAAGCTACAGAAAGAAATGGTGTCAAAATTAGAAATGGAATACTGAAGAATGAAACAGCAGAAAATTGACACTTTGATAGACCAAGATTTCATCTTATGTTGCCTTTTCCCTGGACTTCAATTGGATCAGTGTATTCTAATTTTGAAATCATGCACTGAATGAATCCATACAACAATGTAGATTCACTATATTGTTTTGAACTCTGAGCCTCATACACTTCATGCCTTAAAAGTATCAGTCTTCAAAGGACGACAGCAATTTATGAATTGTTTACATGTTAAGTGGTTGTTCACTGTTAGTCACTATCTTAAGAAAGACAGTGGCAGTTCTGATGTCATGCAACTCATGATTTTTCTAGCATGTATGTTTAGCCAAGTGCACTCAAATTCATTGTGTTAGTTACTCTGTAACAAAATAATGAAATACAATTTGTCTGTAGCGATAATGTTAGCAGGACAGACATTGTAGCGTTTGACACTACAGATGGAGTAGGCAAGAATTTGCTCTAGAATATTTGGGATTGTACACAGGTGATTTTCAATATATTCGTATTAGGAATTCTTAGGTAAAGTATTAAGCACGTTTCATGTCCATCCAAAATCTCTTCTGAAAGAAGAACAATCTTTTCAGCCGTAGGAAAGATGTAAGCAAAGAGAAAATTAAAGTCAAGATAAAGCTGTTACTTCTTGATTTATGAGTTAGAACAAGTTTCATTCCAGCAAAACTTGTATCTTAACACTCTCACACCACAAGAGTGACACTGCAATATCTTTATATGACAACAGCTTGAAGTAGTCGGAAACATATCATGACATCCAATGGGATTGGAGGTTGAATTTCATTTCCATCGAGACGAAGGTATCGGAGGCGAGGAGTGTTGCCATAAAGACCATAGTCTTCTGCTAGGGCAATTGAGACTGGGCACATTTGAGTACCATTGACACCTGAAAATGTAGATCAACATGTTAGGTAATTTCCATGGGAAAGCTTCATGAAGATAAAATTCATTTAGAAAACAAATAAAAGAGGCTTCCATTGATATTTGTATGGGAAACACTTGCTCCTATCAGAGTTGGAAAATGCTAATTAACAATTAACTGTATTTTTGCTGGATCACCTTAACATAGTGTGATCTAGATCAGTGAATCACATACTTAATGTGCCGCAATTATGAATAAAGGCCACTAGATGCATAATTCTACCTTGGAAAGAGAGGAAACTAATTTAGACAACCACTGTGTAACTATTCATTGAGAAACAGCTCTCTGCCCTCAGAGACAGCAGAATAAGACTAATGTTGAGGGATTTTCAACATCCTACTGCAATGACAGTACATTAATTTTAGCTGATAATATTCCACAATGAAGATCTTACATTCAAAATTGTAACACTGTTGAATCAGAGGAGCTTTTCATATAGTGTCTGTAACTTTTAACATCTGTACTTTCCTGTTGTCTCAAATTCTTCAGCACAGTTGGCTTAATTGCAAGAATATAACTTGTGCAATGGGATATTTTTCTTCCTAATCTGAAAGCTCACAGGTCTTTAAAAGTCTTTATAAATCATGCATAGCTTGTTTCAGTTCAGAAAAAAATTGAAACTACGGCTTAAATCATTACCCATTTTCATAAGAGTTGAATAGATTGTCTCCCCTAAGTTACCCCTGCACTATCACTTGGCTAAAATGTTTTTCATATTTTGTCTTCAGCTGTTGAATAGTGAGGCTGTCACTGCCCTGTTTCAGCCTCAAAATGGTCTTATTCTAGAAAACACTGAAGTGGTGTTTACTTATCAAAGATGTCAAATTCCTTTGACCAAATTATGGTATTTAGTCATTGGTCTGACTGCTTGAGGATCTTGTTGGCCCCTGACCACCTACAAAATGTGCTTGAATGGAGAATGTGTGTGTAACATTTCTTTTTGAGCACAGATTTTTAGCAGCCCAGAAATAGAAAAAGAAAAGCTTTCTACCAAAATTTTTCTCCTCTTATATTTGGCAATGATAATATGCACACATCGCTGGATTACAGTTCTCAAAATTGGTAAAATGTTATGATGAAAAAAAAAACATGATTTTTTTTTCTCAAAAGAAAAAAAACACATCCTATTTAAAAACTACCCAAATGTTTGTAACATCTTGGAAATGGACTTTAATTTGTCCTGGAAACTAGATAAATATATCCAGTTGGCCAAGGCCTAAAACTTTTATCATATCCATGATATCAAAATGTCTTTGCCTGTGTTGTGAAATTTGATTAATGTTTGTAAAGCATTTGATATTCTTGGAAGAAACAAGCTACAACTTATTTTTATGTGTGAAGCTATGAAGCAGGAAGCTTGAGAGTGAGGTTTCATTAGGAAAGCAGTTATTAAAAGTTTTGCAAGTGAATCAACACTATGTAGCAGAAAACATCTGCCTTTTCAGGTCAGCACTACTGTCCTTAGGAGACAAGATAGCTTCAAGTGTGTTCTAAATCTCTGTGTTCTCTGACCTGGAAACTATCCCACTGCACTAGTTTTCACTGGGTTAATTACTCCAATCTTGAAGTGAGGCAGCATTTATCTAACCACAGGCCGCCTATGAAGAAGTTATTTCCTGATGGTGTGTGGTAAGAAGAGGTTTGGGTTTTTATTGTTCTCTTCCCCCGAACAGTAAATCCTACCCAAACTATCAGAGAAGTAAAAGCCTCTCTCTCTCCTTTTCTCTTGCAATCCTGTTCATGGGTATGTTGCTGAATTTTGCTTAAGCAGCAGGGTCAGGGCAATCCATCTACATGGGTACAATTCACCCTACCTAAACTGATCCATGTAGAAGGTAAGTGTCAGTCTAAACCATTTAGACTCTGTTTATAAACTCTGGAGACAGAACACTTCTAAAAGGTGATTCACAGCTCCTTAAGATGGGATGATTTTCCCTCTGCAATTTTGTATCTCCTTCCATTAATGGAGTAGGTGGTCTGTACGACTAACCCAAACTAGATACAAAAATCTAGAGTGATTATTTCAAACAAGATTAATTCCACCTGTTGTCAACAGTATTGTTAAGTGGTGTAATATTTAAAAATGAGACTGGAGCTGCTGTATGGGAAAATTGTGGAAGGGTTTCTCATTAATTACTAATATTGTATGTCTGTTGAAGACCCACAGAAGATTCTGTTTCTTTTCCAGTAAAATTCATAATTTAGAAACATTCAGAAGGTTGATCTAGAAGACAGATGTGTTCTGACATACATGAGTTTGAGAGTATTTCAACTCTATTCTTGTAAACTCTAGCTGCACTCACTCTAGTCCAACTCAAACAGCTGAACTCCTTTTCTCCTTTTCACATAATATTTAACTGCAGCAGCCATGGATCAGCCTGGAAATCTGTACCTTTCTGGGCTCTTCCAGCAAAGAAGCCAGTACCAGCAATAACGCTGGTCTGACAATAAATCAGGACCTGTAACTTCAACCATTTCTTTCCAAATATCCTAGAATGGATTCTGATAGACTGGCATTGCTACTTGGCCCAAGGACCTCTCCCTTTCTCTGCACATGGAATAATATTAGCTCAGAGGAGCTATCCCAATCTCCTGGTGTTCCTCCAAGGCAACTTACTGTTCACTGCCTCCTATCACTCCTTTGATAGCACTGTAATACCACCTACCTACCCTGTGCGCTCGCTACATCATACTTTCATGCTTTCTCCTCTTTTTCTTCCTCTAACACTCCCTTTTCCATCATTTGACATCTCCCCAGAGCCTCGTATGTGTATCTCATAAATAAATACATAAATATGAGTTTTAAAATGCCATGCAACAAGTGTGGTGTGTATCTGTTGTAGCCATACTTAGTTTTGATTTTATGTTGATTTCGCTTCCAGCTTTCAAGTACTTTTCCTCTGAGCATTTTGATCCTTAGGGAAGGGACCACAGGTGAAATCCTGGTTCCCCTAAGACCAATGGTGAGGCCATCATTGACTTCTCTAGGCTTCAGGATATTGTCTTATATCTTCATAAAGGGTCTTTAGGGAAATAAGGCCTTAGACTTATATGAAGAACTGATATTATCCAATAACATACAATAAAAGTAGGTAAATAGATAGAAATGTTGATGCCTCAGCTCTTGCAATGCCAGCAGTGTAACTATGAACCACCAAGAGAAAATAAAGCAGCAATTGGCAGATGGGCAGGGGTATCTGACAATTAATATTATAAAAAGGACTTGTACTGCACACATAAAAGTAAATTTCAGGGGGACTTTTTTGTGGAGAAACCAGATCCAGGTTTTTATAGTTATTTTTCTTTCAAATCTTTTACATTGGTTATCTTAAAATAATGACTGATCATCAACTTCCTGGGTTTAAGAAGACAAAAACAATGTGCAGAATTAATGCCACATCTTATTACTCCTGCCTGATGGAATTGCATTCCTTGTTTGTGATCCTAAAGGCTCTTTGAGGTGTCATCTGTTAGAGTAGATTCTCATGCAGACTCTGTCATTATCCCTTACCTCTCGAACAATTACGCTGTGTGCCTTACATAATACCTGCATTTCGTTTAAGGTGTCAGGTTGTCTTTTAAAAATTTTTTTTTACTACTTTATATGTAGTTACCAAGAATAAAAACTTTTTCTTTTTTTTTTAATTAAGAGCAGTGTTGCACTAAAGTTAGTAATGAATTTTGAAAAGTGGTAAAGGCATTAAGGAATAGAAGACTTTAACACTTGTGGAAAACTATTGTGATTTAGATTCATGGGTACCCATGTGTCATTGAAAAATGAGACTTGAGTTTGCACATACTACACATTGTTTTTCATGGTTTTAACCTTTTTAAAACTTATTTAGGAAAGGAAGAGAACTTGCCAGCTCTTTAAATACTACCTAGACACAAAACACTTCTTAAACTGGACAGGCTACATTCCATTGATTTCAGTTTAGTGTCCACTTAAAGTGACAGGAGATAAAGCCTGCACATGGGGCCCTGCAGTGAAGCAATTAAAATAAATCCCTTTGTAACCAGGGGGCAATGAAGTATGTTCAGTAACAACATATGTCATAAGCCCTAACTCTAATTAACTGTTAGGCTTCTCGCAGACCACTTAAATATGTACCAGCTGTACAAAACTGATTTTTCTTTACAAGGTTTCATGCATTTATTTTGCAAAAGGCAGTGAATTAACCTAAATTATTAATAGGTATCTTTCTTTGATATGTCCTTGTTTCATACAGAAGCCAAACAATTATTTTTAGTATATTTGCGAACTGCAGTGACACAAACCAGGAGTAAGGGACCATTTATTCAATTAAATCACCACAACAGGAAGGCAAATGTAGAGAATTGGTTACCTTCTGTGCAGTGATAAATAGAAAGTCATCACTTTCATTTTTTATTTTGGCTTTTGGCATGAAACAAAGGATTTAAGGTCTGTAGGACTTACTGAGCAGATACTTTACCCAGTGTCCCTAATCATCACATCCCTGCTGTACCTGGATGAATCTGGAAGCAGTGCTAGAAGCCAAACTATTACATATCAACAGGCTTCTGTTGCCTTGGGTACAAAATCTTGTCTCTTTTACACAAAATGGAAAATGTTAGAAGATATTTGAGGAGATAATGCTTAGTAGGGCAACACTTCTGTAAAATCAGTGAAAAGATTTTTCATCAAGACTAAACCCAAGTGTCAGTATTTTGTGCATGGTAAACAAAGGATGAGGAGGATATTGAAGCCTGAAATATTCAATATCCACTTTCTAATTAGCTGTATTTGAAATAGATTGTGTTGACTACAGCCAACATTTTATTCTGTTTTAAGAGTGCCTCACCTTAAACTCCTACTACATAAACCTTAAGTTCCTACTACCTAATCTAGGTGGGTAGAGAGATACTCAGAAGAACTGAGCATACAACAATTCTTTTCGTTTAGTGAAGTCCCTAAGGTGCTCAGAAACGTTGAAAATCTAACAGTCATACAGATGTGGACTGAATATCCTAACTTGTTGCATCCACTTTTTTATTGTTATTTCTTGCTTATTCACTCCTAGCCTTTCTGTGGAAAACTTAATTTGTTCCCACAAAATGGTTCTACTGGCATGTATATAGCAAAATGTGAATGCACAAATTCTCCTTAAACCACTCATATTTCTGATCTGTATGCAGATGAACATTTTTCACATGTGGTATTACTTCCATACACATATTTGGTTGTCATATTTTGGACCTGACTTGAAAACTGGCCTGTGGGAAGTCCTCTTGCTCATCTCCCTTTAATCTACAGCACATTTTTTATTTTTTTATTTCAAAGAGCATTTTTGGTAGTTAAGTAGAAATTTTAAAATAATTATGTCTTGGTAGGATCCCACAGTGACAATACACACTTACTTTTGATTCTGTTGTGATCAAGGTGAAGGTGCTCGAGATGAGCATTGATCGGTGGAATTTTAGTGAGCTGGTTGTGAGACAGCTGTAGATCTAGAATAGATGAAACATTAAACCCATTTGGGGGAATACCGTCATCAGATAATTTATTGTAGTTCAGCCTAAGGAAAGTCACTTTAGGTATTGCACTGAAGTAGTTTTCTGGTATCACTTCAATGGAGTTGTTGTCCAAAAACAGCTGCAATGTGTTAGCTGGAATGCTTAGAGGCATTTTCTTGAGTGAATTTTTTGCTATGTTGAGTTGCATAAGATTGTTGAGTCCTTGGAAGGTGTCACTTTGAAGAGCGCTGTCCAACAGACTGTTCTGGTGCAGATCTAACATAGTAAGGTTTTCCAAGTTGCTGAAGACTCCTTCTGGGATTCTGGAAATTTTGTTTCTAGCCAGTCTTAGCTGTTCCAGGCCCACTGGTAATGGGGCAGGCACCTCTTCCAATTCATTGTCTTCGAGGAATAAGTAAAGCAGCTTTTTCAGCTTGCTCAGCACACCACTCTCAATTCCACTGTTTGTGATCTTATTCTTGTTCAGATTTATCCATCTCAGATGAGTGGCATTCACAAAAGGCTTCTCTGAAACTGTTTCAATTAGATTGTTTTGAAGATAGAGGTACCAAATTCTTGCTGGGATTGCAGGTATTTCTTTAAGTCCTTTGTTATCGCAGTATAATGCATTGGGGAAACTGGGAGGACAAAAGCACTCTCGTGGACACTCAGAAGTGTAGTGAGACCAATGCTCAGGATCCAGATCATCATAAACTTGTCTCACAGTTCGAGTCCACACAGAATTGGCCAAGAATAAGAGCAAAAGGCTTGTACAGACTTTTAGAGTCATTGTTTGCCTTGAAAGGGGAGAAAAACAATTAGCTGTCTCTCAACAGAACTCTCTAACAGCAAAATAGATTAACAAAGTAGTATTACATAGAAAATTATATTTCCTTTATAAACAGTCACATTCTGTCCTCTGTGGTATTACCCATGGCATGTTCAGGAAAAACTGAACAGTAATATAAGAGGTATAAACAATTCAGTGCTATATGTTGCAGAATATTTTCCTGATTCAACTTACACTCCACATTGGCTACCAGTTTAACTGACATTCATGCAAGTGGCATTTCAAAGAACCTGAAAACACAGATCATTTTTCTGACATGCTGCTTATAAATTTGTTTGACTTTTCCTGTACAGAGCTATAGACTACTTTATATAATATACCATCTTCAGTAAAGCTATCAATACATGATGATTTAAATGCTACCGTACTCAGTGTTCCTCCTTTTTAAAATTAATTATACCCTCTTTTCTCTTTTTCATCTCTTTAAAATTATAATGGCATCTGGATCAGATTTTCCAGGGTCTTTTCTCATCACAGAAAACTGAAAGATCAAAGACTGTTTTAACAGCTGTTTGTTGGGCATGTTCTTAAAAAGCTTGGAGGGAATATGTTTGAGTAATCCATTCCCCTCCCTCATTCACTGTCTCATATCCAAAGTTATGAATTTCCTTCTCTAAAGCAAACAGCCAAAACAAATGCCTGATCTAAGTGACACAAAAAGTAAGTCCTAACCAAATTATATCATATACACTCATGCATCTTGTATCTATTTTACCTACTTAATTACTTGCTTTGTTTAGCTTCTTCCACCATTAAACGATGAAAAATGTCAACAATGATAATTTACTCCAGAAGGAGATGTTTGTGTAGCACAAAAACAGTGCTTCACAAACTGTTTTCTTGCTTGCTTTCCGATTGAGATTAGCAAGCATTTTGCAATGCAGGGGCAAGAGACTGATAGCTGAAATTTCTGGTCAAAATTAGGAGGCTAGTTTTGGAAAAAATAGTATTTAAATAAAAAGTAAATTCTCTTATAGGATTAATGGACCAGTAAGGTTAAGAGCTCAGTTAATTTGCTCCGTGTGATACGTTGTCATTTAATCGTTTTCAACATTGTTATTAGCAGTAACAAGTGCAATATCCTACAGATCTTCCAGCCTCAGAAACTGCTATCTGGAAACATTCCAAAAAAAAAAAGAGAAATAAAATATTTCTAAAGAATAACATCTCTAATTTACACAGTGAAATGACACCTTCTTACTGTATAAATATTCATAACCTTAATAACATTCTTAAAAAGAAATATAAAGTAATTTACCTTGTTAGTCAAGTTCCTGGAGCTATCTGAAGCCAGCTAGAAATCACTGTAAATTCACAGCTTTTGGCTGCTAACCACTCTGTTTGCTTCCTGTCCTCCTAAGAATTAATAGCGTATAAAACTTGAAGTACATGCTAGTATTCCCAGATGTATTACCATACGCACCTTATTAGCTATTGTTTCTAATTTGACGTTGCTTCAGAGTTTGGGCTTACCTCAGCTTTCTTGGATCTTCTTCTCTTTCTATTGGTCACTGTTGTTAGACTGTAATAGCTTGAGTCAGGCTACAAGCCGTGTTCTATGAATACAGCCTCATATATACGCATCAGTGGCTACAGCTTTTAACCCCTAAAATAACGAAGGCACCTCAGCACCTAGGCAGGAAATCCTGACTTTAATATCAAGCAGCCACAGACCTAAAGGCATTTGATTTTTACATTTTAGCAGATGAGAGGAACTGGTCTAGGTGAAACAGGTATCACAAAATGTACCTTTATTGAAAATTTTTATCAGAAGATACTTTACACGCAAAGCTCGCTTCATCATAATTCATTCTCATAATACCTGAACTGGCCACAAAGAATTAAAAACAGTGCCATCTGTTTCAACGGAAATATTTTATTTGATTTTTATCAAATGCAGATGCTGCCATGCCATTTAAAAACATAACTCTTGATTAGGAGAAGGAGATAGCAAAAGCATTTGCTAAGAATTTTTTAATAATATTTTTTCATTTCTTTAAAGATTAAACCATACCTTTTCCTTTTTGTTCAGAGAGATATTTACACATATTTCTACAAAGTTATCATACTTTCCAGTGCCTCCTGCAGTGAGGTCTGTTTTTAATTATCAAGGCACCAATTAATTATCTTGTTTTATCATTGATCTAAAGTAAAAAGCATTTGCTAAGAATTTTTTAATAATATTTTTTCATTTCTTTAAAGATTAAACCATACCTTTTCCTTTTTGTTCAGAGAGATATTTACACATATTTCTACAAAGTTATCATACTTTCCAGTGCCTCCTGCAGTGAGGTCTGTTTTTAATTATCAAGGCACCAATTAATTATCTTGTTTTATCATTGATCTAAAGTAAACTCTTTCCAGCCAATCTTTCCAAGGCATAGACACATATTTCTCACATTAAGTATTTTGGAGGATTTTTGTTTTCTGTTTTAGTCCAAACTTAGAGTAACAACCTAATACCAGGAAAAATAACCACATCCAAAGCCAGAACAATGGTATAAATATTTTAAGGAAAAAGCTAACGAAAATTCTGAAAACATAAAATATATCCTGGTACACTTTATGAATTTATATTAATTTTAAAACTTATTTATGTAATTATTTTAATTCAGTTACATCTAATTTATTTTGACAATAAACCCTGTAATAACTTAGTTCATAATCTGTAATACTTTGCTTTCAAAACTAAGAATGTCTCAAAAGAAGTTTAGAAGTAGAGTAGACAAAAAGATAAGTAATCAGAAAAAGGAAAGCAACCCGTCGGTACATGGACAGCTTCCACTGACTTCAGCAAGGCTAATGTTAAACACATCACATAAATTTTTTCGTAAGTATATGTTTGTACTACCTACCTTGGTTTTTGTTTAGGAAAAAATACATCCTTAGTACCAGTAATTTTTACACGGCCTAAGTATGTGCTTAAAAATGAAACAAGTGCTTAAGCACTGCTAGAACTCCAGACCCTTCAATATCTCCTAGAGATTATTAGGGCTTTCTTATAAGCCAGGTATAAAATCGATTCCCTTATGCATACTAAGCTGAATATTTCAAAAGTTTAAATTAGATGAAATTGATTTACATCTATACCTAAAAATAAAGGTTCTAGCTTTGAGCAGATGTACTAACTATGAGCACAAAAATTAGATGCAACGTATTCACCTTTTTATTATGAGTGTCACTTTAAACACCTAGGACTTCAAACATTTCCTTTGACCTCTGGCAGCAGAGGTGGTACCACACATTAATGATGAGGATGCTTGTCAGCTGGAGTCCATGGAGGAGAGGTGGGGAGAGGCAGAGACACCACTGTATGAAGGTTAAAACAGTTGTGTGTTCAGTTGTGAGTGACGTAAAGAGGCTTCACCATGAGAAGTGCATCTATGAATCTTGTAAAAACCAGGCACCGCAACGTAAAACTGGTTTGCTTTGTACTAAATCTTCACAGAGCGTGTAGAGAGGATGTGGAGGCACTGAGGTCTGCCCACCATTAAAGAACGAGCCGAGACCTTCATGAATGTTGCACTGAAGGGTTTAAAATAGTGAGTCCTGGTGGCAGATATCTGTTGTGACACACTTAAATGCAACTTGTCAGCTGTTGCACATTGAACAACAACAACAAAAAGATTGATTTATCTTATGCTTCATGGGGGTCTGAATCTACCCTTTAACCTGCTAATCATGTACAGATGTTCATTATGTTATCACAGAGGCCACAGGCAGAGGGACTTGCTGGTTGCCTCATGACAGGCAGTGGGACTGTTTGTACCAACTACTGTTCAGCAAGGGAAAGGCAAGTCACAGTCTGCCCTCTGTGAATTTCGAGACCAGGTATTTGGTCCTTATCAAACACATACGCTGCCATCCCATTCAAAGAAGCAGTTCTTCACTAGGAGAAGAAACCAGCAAAAACTTTTGCTAAGACTTTCTCAATAACATGAATTTTCATTTCTTCTGATGCAAACAAAGGGCAGAAAGAAATGACAAGAAATGTCCTCAAAATTAGTAAAAAAGTGTGTGATGACTGTAATATGTATTGTCATGGGCACTCAAAAATTTTGGAAAGATCTCTGCAGGAGCAAGTGATTGCTTGGTTGCCCAAGCAGACTTTGCAGAAAGGTCTCCTTTCCATGAAACCTTCAAGATTGCACACATATTCTCCATCATGCATTTGTTTTGTTCAGTCCTCCATCATCCGGTGTGACTATTTATTATTTAATGGGTGCGATATATGGTGATAAAGTTTTATAGGCAAATAAAAGACCACGGCCAAGATTTTCAACAAAGACTAATGGTTTGGGAAGCTTTTTGTTTTGAGTATCCAACCTGAAACACTTTCCAATGCCTTATTTTCAGTAAGAGAGGGTTAAGAATTTTGTGTTAATAAAGTGATTTTTAACTTGTGAAGCTGAGCAATTAAAGGTAAGTATCAGTGAAACACAAACTGCTCCTGAGACCATGAACAATCTCCCAAAAAGTAGCAGTATGCAAGGTATTTGCATGACAATAAAAGGAGGTGGAAAAATTATTACAGTAAAAATACTGTGGATACCCACTCTGTGAATTTTGGAGACCTTTTAAAAGATACTGTTGGGAGCATTCTAGTTTGAGGAAGATGTCTCAAACTGTTACAGGATTTTTGATCTATGTCTCCTGACAATCCACTTTGTTAATCAATGTAATAAGAGAATCTTTATTTAAAAAAAAAAAAAAAGTGAGGAGCACCAACAACCGCAGAGGGTGGTAACATCTCTTTGAGCAGAGTGATGTACATGCTTGAGACTAGAAGAGCCCACAAGCTTGAGAAGGACTAGAAGGGCTAAAAAGATAGACTAGAAAGACCCATTGGGAGGACATATGGAGAACCGGGAGTGCTGTAAGAGCTGTTGTTCTGTTTCAGCATTGAAGTTGCTGACGGTGGAAAAAATGCATTGCTTTGTTTCAGTAATGGCTGCCATATGTCTCAGATTTAATACGAAGCAAGGTCTGTTAAACATCAAGCATGTGTATAGCTCATCACCAGCAAACCCAGGAGTATACTGCAAGCAGAGCTGATTCACCAGCCCTGTGGATTGCTCCATTTAGTAAAGTCTGCAATCCAGTGTGCCTAATTTGGCTACTACTTTACAAAACTGCTAGGTGTCTTGATCCAAAGGACAGTCAGTATATCTGAAATATGCTTTTAAATTCTCTTCAAGATAACGAGAGAAAAGGTGATACTTCAAAACCTGAAGAATAGAGTAAGTTCAGTTTTTGTAGCCTTCATAATATGCCCTACTAGTAGCTCCAAACAACCATGCAGACCACTTAAAGCAGATGTTCATATTTACTCAGGGTTCAGTCCGCCTCTTGTACTTCCGAAGATTGGCATGTAGTGACGATCTCTCTCTCTCTTTTTTGCATTGCTGCTTGAAACAGAGAGTATGAAGGTCTGAGTTTAGCTCAGAAAGACAAAATTTCTCTTTCCAAACAGTTCCCTGAACATCAGACAGTGATATATCCCAATTAATAATATTGGGTACTCCTTTTAAAAAGGAGCTACAAAAGATCGACAAAACCAAAGAGTCTAAAATAAAGCAGATGAGTGAGCCTTTCAGGCTAGCCCAAGGGACAGTGCAGACAGATCAAAGGGGCCAGCACAGATGTTCCAGACCCTGGTCCTATGGATGCATTTTACTCTACATCATTCCTGGTGAACAAAAAATTTAACCTCCCCAGACTTAGGAGTAGGCACTCTGCATCTCTCCTGGAAGCCTAGAATTGCCTGGCTAGACCTCTCAGTGGGAGAAATTGCATTTCTTATTTAAAGAGGTATTTCTGTGCGTATGCAGGCAGCTAAAATATGGGGAGTTTACCTGGGGAGCATTCAGGTTAGATTAGGAGATATTGTTTAAAGGAACCTTGGAAAATAGTTGGGCTGGCTTAATTTGTGAAATTGTCAGCTGATCCCCTGTTTATATAGGATTTATGAAGATGAGATCCTATTCTAAAAGTCTAGAAATAAAATTCTGGTGATTTACTTTCTGCACACCTTCACTCCTTGTAAAAACTACAGTGAGAACTGAGTAGCTCAGCTTAACACGTTTCAGAACAGAATAATTATGGAAAAGGGCTCAGCTTTTATGAGAAACATAGTGCTCTCCTGAATATGCATCATTAAAGAATTTTTTGGCTGTCTGTTCCCTTTCTCTCTATTTTAAGCTCTTTACCACAGTGACATTGTAAAGGTTCCACGACACAAAGCCAAGATCTGACATTTATCTTGGCTAGCTAGGTTTAGTTTATCTACTATGTAAATGTGGCTGTCAATCTCTTACCTTTATTTGTTTTCATGCTTTCAACAATTTCAACAATGAAACAAATCCATCCTACCCAGGGACTTGATTTTTAAAATTCTAGATGTACAATCATATATGCTAAATGTATCTTAAATTAAATATCTAACATGCATTTATCAATTACATACACACACTGAGTTCTTGGGCCTGTAAGTGGCTATTAAGACGATTAATATTTCCAGGCAGCTAATGGTA